TACAATGATGGAAACAGCATGGCTGGAAGCGGAGAGAACTGTCTTGTGTGCAGTGTGACAAAGTTATTAGGCCATAAATAGAGACAACAAAAGCTGAATTTATTTGATTTGTTGTGCAAAAATTGGGGGAAAAAAAACCTGGATTCAGCACTCAGGTGTTGTCAATACAATAAAAACACATTGACTCGACATCACGGGTGTCGAATCCTGGTCCTGGAGGGCCGCAATCCTGCATGTTTTAGATGTTTCCTTCTTCCAACACACCTGATTCAAATGATCAGGATCGCTATCAGGCTTCTGCAGAGCTTGATGATGAGCTGATCATTTGAATCAGGTGGAAGAGGGAAACATCTAAAACATGTAGGATCGCGGCCCTCCAGGACCAGGATTGGACCCCCCTGCTCTACATGCTGTGGGTATTTTACTTCTTACATTGTTCATGTATTTCCACACTTGTCTCCTCTCTGCTCGGTGTGCACACAGCCTGCAGCTCAGCCGAACGCTCACACAATGTTCATCAACTGTTGCACAATCTGGTGCAAATATATTTTAACCAAACGTTGTGTAAAATAAAATCTTCCTGACCAGATTAGTGGTTCAGTGACAGTTTCTGGCTCTGATAAATGGTGACACTTTGTACGTTTTTATAGACGACATTCTTTTCAAACCAACCTACAAGTTTTGGGGTTTAGGGGGTAAAAACTTATAAAAAGTTAAATCTCACCTCCGGTCCTCGCTGAAGAACTCATGCCGACATTTTCTCATCCAGACTCGCTTCTGCTTTTGGTTTTTCTCGCTGCAATGAATTATTCACATTACAGCAAGTTTTTCCACCACAGTCTCCGTTTTGTTCACATCTGCTTCACCGTGAGGTCTCGTGCTCCATGTGGACCATTAGTGTGAGCATGTCTGAGATTACAGGGAAGAATATTTGTGAATCTTTTAAAACTTCTGTCATGTGAAACAGGTTTAAGGGGACAAGTGGACCAAAAATATTCCAGTTTCCAGATTTTTCCTCTAAAGTCCCTCCCTGGTCGTTGATTAAACCCATAAAAGCTCCTTAAGTTATATATTCAGAATCTTTTTTCCCATGAAAACAATCCCTGCCTGCCTTACAATAGCTCGGATGCAACTCAACCCTGCTGCTTCCATCAGCTCTATGATTTATCTCCTCACTTGCTGCAGCTCGAGCACACCAGCTCACCTCCGACTCTGCTGAAACTATTCTACGCTGCACGATGGCAACTCAGACAGACTCTAAACCTTGCAAAAGTTGACAGGATTGTCTCTAGTGTTGACTGCTCATGATGTTCTCTAGCAGCCATATGGAGTTGTTATGAAGAAGGTAACAAAAAAAATCGATTTCCTTCCCCCCAGAGGGAGTCTTCAAGTTGTCATCTGCCTGTAGTGAAGTGTTAGTGTCCTCAAATGAAATCCACCTGCACTCCACACGTGTAGCTTCACCACCATTAGCAGACACATTATGAGAATTAGCAGCAGTGGGGATCACATCCTGGTATCCCCGTCAACCGGAGCCACTGAGGTGTGCAGTTTGCTGGAATAATGAACTCGCCAGTTTTCCAGGCTTGAGCCCCTTTATTTTTATTTTTATTTTTTGCAGAAGCTATAGCGAGAAAGGAAGCATGCATGAAATACATTCGGGAGGCAATTACAGACAGTGATCTTATGTGCAGAACGTACAACATAAATCATGTTGTCAGAGTTATTGATAAGCTGCAGCAGCACACGGCAGGCAGCTGTTCTGCTACATTTAACTAAGTCTGACACAAGAGAGGAAGAGACGCCGGGAAAAAAGGAAAAAAAAAAAAAAACGGGGGGAGAGAGAGAGAGAGAACAACAAACACGCCGCTGTCAGAGGCAGAAACACACAAAAACACTCTGAAAATATCTGCAGTGCACGAAGATGAAGTCGAGCAGGTTATCGTGCAGGAGAGCTGATATTCTCCCCTCAGTGCGTCTGGCCCTCTGCAGGCCTGAACCTCCCCTCTGTTTATCAGGAAGAGCAGCTCCAGGCGCTGCCCTGCGCTCTCTCAATTTTGGATCAGCTGTGCTTTCTCTCTGAGTAGATTTAGGCTTTATGTAATAATCTTTTCCAGTCCCAACAGTGCTGTGAATTTGTGCAATAGGACTGCATGTTGTTTCGCTTGTGTGTGTGTGTGTGTGTGTGTGTGTTTGAGCGTGCACCTTATGTAAATGCAGATCGTTCCAAACCCCAATAGGAGTACAAAGCCCTAATCAGCTTACAGCCCAAGTTTTAATCCTCTCCGCACACAAACTCCTGTTTCTGTTTCTCATATCAAATGAGCACATTTGTACAGATATTTGCTTTTTCATTAGTTTTCTCTCTCGCCCTCAAGAGAGAATGTAATGTGCTTTTTCTTTTTTCTTTCCCTTCACCCTCCTTCCTACCTCCGTCTTGTCGGGGGTGTCGGGAGCATGTGTGTGAGCGACGTGGAATAATCTCAGGCGTGGCCCCCAGCACGACGATCAGCGTGTTTGTGGAGATGTCGCCTTTGTGCGGCTTTGTTGTCTGATCGTGATTAACAACACAAACAGTATTTCTGCCGCCGTGACTCGTAGCTATCTCCAATCAAAAGCCGCGGCGGCTCACGCTCGCAATTCAGCGACTTATCTCCCTGACACTGATTACGTCTCATTACCGGTTCGTCCCGACAGTCGGCGCGAACAGAGCCTGCTTTCTAACGCAAATATAATATTTGACTTGCGGGTTGTAATCCCCTAAAAATTTTCCAGTCCAACCTGATTGGGAGACGCTCGCAGTTATTGGAGGCGACGGGAAAAAAATTCTGAGGTTTAGCAAACATTTACTGAGCAACAGAAGAGCAACTGGTGTCTGGAGATGAGACAAGAAGATGAAGCCGTTAGCACAAATGCAGACATGTTTTGTACAGTAGCGTCTAATCATAGACTGTATATAAAAGATGAACGTTGCCTCTGGGTCTGACCAGCAGGGGGCGACTCCTGTTTGCAAAAAAATTGTATAGAAGTCAATGAGAAAATGAGCCTACTTCTCATTTGATTTACTAATTCAGTAAACATTTTCCTAACAACTTAATGGTCTGAATCGCTAGTTTACAGCCTCCGACGATGTTCTTTTTGCAAATTAGCATCATCATGGAACATGATCACGTATTGAAGGAGGCTTGAAACTAGCGATTGAGACCATAAAATGAAATGGGAAATGTTTACTGAGGTAACAACTCAGGTGAGACATAGGTTTATTTTGTCATTGACTTCTAGACTTGTTTTTAGAACCCTGCTGAATGTCAGCAAGAAAGTAGATTGAAGGCACTTCTGAGTTCGTCTTGCATTGGTCTGAATCATAGACTGTATAAAAGATGGACGTAGCTGCCGTGACGTCACCCGTTGGTTTCTGCACTGAGAAAATGAAGCCAGGGTTTTGCTACTTCCTGGTTGACATCTTGGATTTTTGGAGCCAGTGACGCAAAAATCGTCGGAGGGGGGCGGAGCCATAGGAGCAGCGATTGGTCAGATGGATTGAGAGGCGGGCCCTCTCTGCCCCGCCCACATTTACCGCCTTCTGCTCGCTTCGTCTGCATCGTCGCTGCCGACTGTCAATCAAGCCAGCCACGCCCCTTGCCCCGCAAAATGTTGACGATTTTTTAAAAATTCAGTATTGATTTATTTTCATATTGGCCACCTGATCTCTGGATTTGACCATGAAAACTAATAAGAAAAAAATCCTGAGCTGTAGGAATGCAGTATTTCATGATCTGTGATCACTTCTTTTCCAATTCCAGTCTATGGGAGCCAGGGCTTTTTGGAGCCAGCAGCTAGCAGACGTAGTGATATTGCAAGTTTTTGACACTTCCGGGTTGGCTTCATTGTTCAGGGCCGGTTGCTACGTCCATCTTTTATACAGTCTATGGTCTGAATGCAGCTCACTATCATTCTATTTAGGCTTGTTTGCATTACTTTAACCAATCACAAGCATCGTGGGTTAGCCATGTAAGGGCTGCAGCGACACAATATGATGGGTTCGAGTAAACACTATCATTAAAATGACTAATTCACAAAAAAAAAACTATCATGGTTGCCTTAGTAACTAAATCCGTTGCAGAACTTCAAATTTTAAGCCTGTAGTTGGTTGTTGTTGTTGTTGTTGTTGTTGTTGTTTGCAACAAGACAAAGCCACATGCAATGCAGATCCAGTGGCTGCATCCGGAGAGCCGGACATGTTGGCTTCACTTCCCAAACCCAGAGTCCCAGTTCGTCCTTTATACACAATCTATGCTCACAAATTACTCATATCTTGTATTCTTTTAGCTTGGAGCTGAAACATAGACGCTGGAGTTATAAGGAATTAGTATTTGGGTATCCATTTGCTCATCTAACTTCCTTTAGAGCTAAGAAGCAGGGCTCTGGACGAACTTTTCCACCGGCAGCGCATGCTTTGGTCGCACAACAAACAGTAAAGTTAGTGAGGTGCATTTAGACATGAGTGTAACAACATTAGTTCATAAAGAGTGAAATAAGACATTCTAATGATCATATTTACTCACGTTGAAACCAGGAGATTTGATTGGCTGTTTTCTACGTGCAGAGGGAATTTAAAATATCAACACGACAGTCGAATAAGTTCATTTAATTGTGAGAAAATCCTGATTGTGTTTGATATTTACTTAGTTTTTCTTGCTCACTGGTTCAGTGGCCACCTCCTTCCTCTTCACATCCCAAAATAATCAGCTCTAGGTGGCTTCATCAATGGATTGTTCCACCTGCTAGAGAATAAATCCAACATTTCTCGGGGATAAATAAAGTTTTCTTCGGCATGGACTGAGCCAGCGAAGAAGAAAAAGTAGTAGTCAACCAAATTTATTAAAATGGTTGCACATATGACCCTTTTAACCGCAGTCTTGTGCCTTAATTTGTAAACATATCTCCGCAAACGAGCCTTTTCCTGAGCATAACTGACTTCTATGTGTGTCTCTTGGCAGTGCCGTCATCCTGGACGGGAAGATCTACGCCACGGGAGGCATCGTGAGCAGCGAGGGTCCGGCCCTGGGCAACATGGAGACCTTCGACCCGTGCACCAACTCGTGGACGCTGCTGCAGTCGCTGCCCTGCCCGCTCTTCAGACACGGCTGCGTGGTCATCAAGAAGTACATCCAGAGCGGCTGAGGGCGCGGCTCGGGCTGCATCGTACCGGGTTCGACGCCAAAAACACCAGCTGAGCTCCAGTTGTGGGACGATGTGTGACGGCAGCTTAGAGCCGGATCGGTCGGCCGGTCGGTCGGTCGGTCGGCCGGTCGGCGACCTCTGGACTTGACGCCAGCATCCATCCACACTGTTACCTTCCCTCCACCTCCTCAAATAAAAAAAAAAACAAAAAAAACAAAAACCCTGTGCAGAATGTACTCATGTTCAACTACTCAGCCATGTCAGGTGACGATGCCTAACCTCCAGTACTGTATGTGTCATGCTAGTAGTTCATCCTCTCATCCAACAGGCACAGGGACCCTCTTAGTAACTTACAAGCTCTTTGGTTTTGAAGTTTTGTTCTCGTCTCCGTGAAACTCACCACTTTCCAGCTCAGCGAAAGCCATCGCAGGTTGTTTTTTTTTTGTCCCCCCTTTTTTGAGTAAAGCTGGTAGGTTTCATCCGTTCTTTGTTCTCAGTAGTGACATCTACAGGACGGGAGGAAGAGTGACGGGAAGGAATCCGACTGTTTTCCTCTTTTATCAGCCGATCTGAAGAGTTCCCCCTCTCTCTCCTAATGTACCAGGAAGAAGCAAAAAAATAATAATAATAATTCCTCCTGTGCGGATTTATGAGGTGATTCAAAAACCAGATTTTGAACTCTGCGTAACCCAGTTTCTTTTTAAACATCGGAAAAAACCATCAAATCTGGGTCAGGTGGGGTTTAAATAGGAGAAAATCTTTATGTTCTGGTGCCGTTCCAGCCTGATTGAGATCTCATCTGCAGGGAGAGTAGCTTGTTTTCCCCCCATTGTTATTTGTACTCTGCTGCCTGAAGAAAGAAAAAAAAGAGAAGGTATTTGGAGAGAGAGGGAATTCCTCCTTCCGCTGATCAGATGTTGGGACAGTTCCTCCGGAAAAAAAGCACAATATTCACCTGTGACTGTTACCATAGACGTCATCTGTTGATCCATGTTTTGTTTTTTTTCCCTCCCCTCGTTTTTTTTCATAAAGTCCGCCCTCTTCTGTTTTATACGACGTGTTTCATCGCAGCCCACACATGACGTGGGCTTGGTATTCTGTAAATACAGGAAGGAAATATGTATATTTTAAAAACCTGAAGGCAATTCTGTATAAATGTTTTTAGAAAAAAAAACAACAAAAAAAACTGATAGGTTGGATTCAAAATGGTATGTCTGTAAATCTGTACCCAAAAAGGAGAAATTAACAATTGTTATTATTGAAAACTAATACATATACCAGAACATGAAAACCTTGTCGAGTGTTGGTGTTTTTTTTTCTGTCTACATCAGAGCTCTCACACACAACATGACGGGTGATGTTTGGGGGAAATAAAACACAGAATTAGGATTATTTACCTCAATTAAGACACTTTATTAACATCCTGTTATTTGTTTATTAGCTTCTGAACTAGCTGCAGTCTGGGAATCT